AATGTAATGATTAAAGGACTGGCAATATGGACGACGAAACTGGATCACGATTTTAGTCAGGAGATGAATTGGCTTGTTGTTGATATATGTATTGTGTATTAAGTTTTTATGCTTTTAAATTGTATACTGTCGATTGTTATATTCTGTTGTAAACCGCGTTGAGTCGCCGTCTAGGCTGAGAAACAGCGGTATACAAGTATAGCAAATAAATAAATAAATAAATAAATCACCCCTGACAAATGGCCATCCAGCCTCTGCTTAAAAGCTTCCAAAGAAGGAGCCTCCACCACACTCCGGGGCAGAGAGTTCCACTGCTTAATGGCTCTCACAGGAAGTTCTTCCTCATGTTCAGATGGACCAATGGGGAAACTTTCTCCCTCATTGTTAGATCTATTGGCATGAAATTTACTACAATCACCACTGTAACACCCCCCCTCCCAAGTTTCACAACATTTCATTCATCCACTGACTTTCAAGAATTCTTAAAAGTTTTTATGAACAACATTTTTAACAAAAACCACAAAAGCTATCTCCTTGAATTTTCTATACAAGAAACTAGGACACAAAGTAATGGATTAAATTTGCAGGTAAAGAGATCACACCTAAACATTAGGAAGAACTTCCTGATGGTTCGAGCAGTTTGGTCATAGAATATGCTGTCTTGGAGCACTGTGGAGTCTCCTGCCCTAGAAGTTTTGAGGCAGGTCCTGGATGACCATCTGCCAAGAGTGCTTTGATTGTGTGTTACTGCATGGTAGAGAATTGGACTTGATGGCCCTTGTGGTTTCTTCCAACTCTATGATTCTATGAAATGTCCCTAGGTTTGGAGCACCCCAAGTTCTCAGTCAGAGCCTCTTCTTCTTCAGGCTTTTCATTCAGCTGTGTCTCATATTTCTAATGTAGAATGGCATACAACACTGTTCTGTTGGAAATGGGTGAGTAATATAAGTGGTGAATTTATAATAACACTGAAAAGGTAGACATCTGGAGTACAAATCAGAAGTTCTAATTTGTGCTTTTACTGGAGATAGGCTCTATTTCAAATTCAGACTGTTCTGCAATAATTACAGCATATTTATTAAGTTGTTATCCATTCATTGTATGAACTGAATCATGCTGCTAGGAAAACTTAACTCTATGTAATCCTTGTCAGTATTTATTAAAGCTCACTTGCAAAAAGAAAAGAGCAGAGGGAAATCATACTTACTGATGACAGATTGCACTGAATAACAAAAGTGTGTTAATGTTGGTTGGTGATGCTTTCATTTTCTCTCACTCATATCATGATGGTTTCTTAATTTCATAAGTTCATGACCAGAATTCAGTATCACACTTATGGATGTGTAACCTGGAATTATGAATCAGTAACTGATACATATTATTTGTACATACTAGTCATAATAATGGCACTATTGCCCAAACCTATTTTATCAAAAAACAGCAATGAGAGGAGATCAATTCTGCTGGTAACAGAAGTACAGGAACTTTATCTCATGAAGTCACTAACTTTTGCAGTCATGCAGTTATAGGCTGATAAACCAGCCAGTCCACCTCCCTCCAGCCACAGCCATCCAAGCAGCCTCCATCCAAGGGGTGCATCAATGGTGCTACGGTATCCTTCTCCTTTCCCCCAAAAGTCCTGAGCATGTTTTCAATTTGTGCGTTTAGACCCGTGATGGCGAACCTATGACATGCGTGTCAGTAGTGACACATGTAGCCATTTCTACTGACACGCGCCGAAGGTCCACAATTGCTTTGGCTGGAGGAGGAGGCAGAGGTGCCTTTGAAGAAGAGGAAGAAGCAAATCAACAAAACAAACTTTAGGGGCATCACCACTTGCTCTGGTGGGTGGGGCCATTACCTCTCCATTCCCTCGTGGCTCTGAGGAGAGCCAGCATTGGCTCTTTGGAGAACCAATAGCGAACCAACAGTGAACCTTTTCCAGGGAGGAACGCCAAACGAGGCGGAGCACTTTCCGATACTGTCAGTCATGCTCAGTAATGAGCCCCCACCTTGAATGTGGGACTCCACTTCCCAGAAGCCACTGTCGTCTTCCTCTCCTTCCTCCTCTGCCAAAGCAGCAGCAGCGAGAACAACACGACGTTCAGCCTGCAAAGGCTGACTGGCCACCTGACAGGAGTGCCTTGATTGTGCTTTTCCCTTATGGCAGGAGGTTGGATAAACATCCTGCATATCAGAGATTTACATGACGATTCATAACAGTAGAAAAATTACAGTTATAAAGAAGCCACAAAAATAATGTTATGGTTGGGGGTCACCACAACACGAAGAACTGTATTAAGGGATTGTGGCATTAGAAAGGTTGAGAAACACTGCACTACTGGCTATTAGGAATTGTGGGAGTTGAAGTCCAAAACACAAGGAGGGCCCAAGCTGGCCCATGCCTGCTTTAAAGAATAGCCATTATATTTAATTCTATTGTAATATTTCACATATTTGTAGATTTGAAATTGTATTGAAATGTAAGCTGCTTTGCCCCCTTCCACACAGCTGTATAAAATCCACACTTAACTGGCTTATATGGCAGTGTGGACTCTGTTAATGCAGTTCAAAGCAGATATTGTGGATTATCTGCCTTGATATTCTGGGTTATATGGCTGTTTGGAAGAGCCCTTTCAGAGCCCCATATCCCAGGATCTGATCCCAGGTTTTCTGTTTATCCCAGATTATCTGGCAGTGCAAACTCAAATAATCCAGTTTAAAGCAGAAAACCTGGGATCATATCCTGGGATATAGGGCCTTTCTGGAAGTGCCCACAGTCTCCTTGTGAAGACAAAAAGTGGTGTATAAATAAGCATAATAATAATATTGTAGAACAGAAATCTGTTCCTGGTTTGAAATTGTTATTTTCTGTTTAATTGTGCGGCTCTTACTTTGAAAGTAGTAGTTCTCCAGAAACTTTGTGTGGCTGCCACAAACTATGATGACAAGAGGTCATGGGAATTCGGCCAATAGGCTGATCAGTAAACATATTCATGGGTTCCCTGCTGTTATAGTTAGCCTGTTACCCATGCTACGACATACTTGCAGTCAAAATTTCGTTTATTTGTAATTAGAAATAAATGTTTCACAATTTATAAAATAAATGTTTCACAATATTCCCATGTAAACTATAGTCCAGCCCTCCAACAGTCTGAGGGACAGTGAACTGGCCCCCTGTTCAAAAAGTTTGAGGACCCCTGGTTTAAATAATGGTCAAACATTTTGCCTCTTCTCAGTGGAGAAACCAAAGATTTCTTATAGAACAGAGCAAAGGGGGAATAAGAATCAAGAACAAACTAAAATACTTGGGAGTAATAATAACTAAGGATTTAAAAGAGATAGAGGAAGTAAATGTAGTAACATTAAGGAAAGAAGTCCAGAAAAAGTTAATAGAGTACGAAGGAATACGCTTATCATGGTTTGGAAGAATAGCATTAGTAAAAATGAAAATACTTCCAAAAATAAATTTCATATTTAGGATGCTACCACTTCAAATTACAGAAGAAGAACTAACTAGATGGCAACAAATGATTAATAAGTACTGTAATGGAAGTAAAAGGAACAGACTAAATAAACAATTATGGTTGTTGTTGTTGTTGTTCACTCGTTCAGTCATCTCCGACTCTTCGTGACCTCATGGATCAGCCCACGCCAGAGCTCCCTGTCGGCCGTTACCACCCCCAGCTC